ACACACAAGCCCCAGCCAGGACACGAAATCTATTTAACCTCACACGTTGCAGGTCCTTTTTTGGTTCCTGCACCCGCTTATGCTGATGCTGATGCTGCTCTTTAGTTTTAATGCCAGCGGAGGAGCATGCAAATCAGCTTTTTATTCGACTGGCCTCCCAACTGAATAGAGACGGGGGCGCCCAATCTCGATCCCGATCCCGAACCCGACCAACCTGAGTGCACCAAGTTCGCCATGGAATGACCCTCTGGGGAAATTCATAGTTGATACTTGTGGCCATTGAACTGTTCGGGTTCGGGGTTATAAAAAGTAGTAAGGACAGACAATAAACACAACAGGCAAAGGATAGCATTAATGCACTGATAAAAAAATGGTTAAAAAGGTTTTTGGTAAAAAGAACCAAAGTTTAAAATCAAAAACTCTTTAAAAAATTAAACAGCAAGGCTATGATAAATATATTTTCCAAGAAATCATCTACTTAAAATATATAAAAATACTTTTAAATATAAATGTTATCCATGATTACTCTCCTTTATTTTCAGTGCTGGGAACAGGAGTTTATCCTTATCTCAGGCCATGATGTCAAGCCAAAGTTTGTGGCACAAAACTTTCTGGCTGCTCGGCGGCGGCTCCCTTGTGCCAATGAAAGTGGTCAGTTAAAAAATGTCAACCCTCCTCCCTCCTGGGTGGCCTTTGAAGATTCCTAACTAAGACAAAGAGCAGCGAACTATATCGAAAGTAATATGTCTGGGGCGGTCGGCATGCATAATTACAAAACTTTGCGGCCGGGACACATAAGTCATATTTCTGACCAACGAGAAACCGGGAGTCCTGTGGCGTCCAGGATTTATGTTAATGGCAAGAGTGTGAGTAGAAGGTGGGCTGCAAATTAAACACGACACGACACACACACTGGTGTCGTTATCTTTATAAATCAAAGGGAATTACAAGCCCATAACGACGCAACCCCCAATGAAATCCCATCCGTCCACATGTGAATGCCACAGATTCTGGAAATTGTTGCAAACCCTTTCGGCAAACAGCTCAAGGGGTTTCCTCCTTTTGGTACATATTTTTAATGATTTATTCCCAATTTAGGCAAAAGATTTCGTACTTAAGATGCTCTGCCTAATGGCCGGACGCATTCTCATCCCCCGGAATGCAAGGTCAGTGGTCACCCCGAGTCCTTGCTTTGGAATTCCCTGAGATGCCAAAGGGTGCAGAGACACCTCTCCATTGCCCCCAACCCTTTCTCGTAGTGTGCTAATATGCAAATCCAATTTATTGCACTGCCCTTCCCTTTTAAATCTTTTTTTGAATGCAGAGAGAAAAAAGTATTAGCTAGAATACATTTTAAAAATATTTTAAGCTAACATTTTTAATGGAATATCTCAAGAATATAATTTAATAATCCTTTAAACTAATCTTAAATAAAAAATTCAAGCACTCTATACCAATTTCTGGTTTCATATTTTCTCCCTGTGTAACCATCCTCATCGTCCTGGGCGTGAGTTATACGAATCCTTTTATCTCGACTGTCGCCTGGCGTGCGTCGGGCGCATAAATCTTGTATAAGTTCGCTCCTTGGCAAGGAGTCAATATGCTAAATCAGCAGAACCCTTTTTTGCCCACTCCCCACTTTCTGCTCCGCAGGACCTGTAAGGATCGGATGGGCAGGGCGTGTGGAGTGGTGTATGTTTGGACAGCTGCTAAGACATTTCAATAACGCTGCAAGCCAAAGATGGAAATCCTAGAGCGACAATGGTTCTCCGGTTGGTTGCTCCTCCTCGAATCTTCCTGCCCGATGTTTGTTGAATTTTAATCATTTGCTTGATGCAGCCTCAAGTGGCGTACATCTCTAGGAGATAGATAGTACAACTTCATCGAGAGCGAGAGTTGGGGAAAGTGAAGCCAAGACGGAGAATAGGAGCAGGTAAAGGATGGCTGGATGTTTGCTTTTGCCAGCCAAGGAAAGTGCAAGGACCTCAGATGTTCAACTCCAACTCCAGCTAAGGAGTTGGTTAAACATAATCAATGAGTTGAGGCAGATTAACCAGGAGGTTATCATATTTTAGGGGGGAAATTATAAGGTTTACAGAATTTGTTGTTGAATTTTCCATGTGTTAATGGGTTTAGAATATTCTTTTTTAATTTTGAAAATTGTTAAAAATTATTATTAACCCTTTTGATCATAGTTCCTGATCCCTCGACCAGTTCCAAACGATTTCCCGGGGGCTATGCCTGTCGCTTCTCAATGGACGCCCAAAGATTTATGGTGAGAACAGCAAACACGCGGAGAAAGTGGAAAATGAGCGGAAAGTGGAAAGACAAAAGACCTTTACGTATATAAATCATGGCCCGACGGCAGGCGGCAAATGTCATGCGGCGCTCAGTCCTGCCACCGCCACTTGAAGTCAAAACCAGTTTGGTGAGGTTCAGTTCAGCTCAGTTCAGTTCTGTTCAGTTAGGTTCGGTTAGCTCGGATCCTCGAGCTCAAGCTGACATCTCTCATTTTCATTTTCATGCTTATTGTCCTGGCCCCGGCGTTGCAAATTTGTCAACGAACGAGGAGCAGGACAACTGTCAGCGAGATAAGCGTGCAGGAACTTTTATCTGTGAGATACATATGCGCAGGATGAATCACTCGCACGTCTCTGCCCCGAATATTTCAATACCAAATTGGCTGGTTATCTTTGTACACAAACTAAAATTACAAGGACTAGGGATTAAGTAAAAGCTGTCGACTAAAAAGTACCCCGTAAAGTTGTATATCATAATATAAGTAATATTAATAATATTAAAAATTAAGTAAAAATTACATTTCACTTTAGCATAACAAATTGCAAGCTTACTAAGTATAAGTAATAAATAAGAAGAAAGAAATTTAACTTCTAGTAGCCGAAGTTTGTATACCCTTGCAGTTTACTATATAGTAAGATACCGATCGAAAATCGATAATAATTCAGCCAAAAATGCATTAATTTCAATTCGGAAAGTTTTTTTGTGCTAATTTTTATAAGCTTAACAAATCTGCATACTTAATATTAATTTTTAAACATTTCAGAATTTTGTTTAATTTTTGAAAATTTTAATGATGTAACAACCCCTTATAAAATTTTGGAAAAATTAAAAAAAAAATTTGTTCTAGCTGGCCTGTCAGATCGATTCCGCTGTTGATGCTGATCAAGAATATATATGATTTATAGGGTCGGAAATGTCTCCTTCACGTTGTTTAAAGTTAAAACCCTACAAGGGTAAGGTAAAAATATGAATTTTTTAAAGAACAAAACTACCTATCTTTCCCAGACACCACAGGGTACTCTAACGCGTAAAAAAAGAAGATATATACCCAAAAAAATGCAATAAAAATCATTGTCAAATTGGTCGAGGGCCATGAACAAAAGTTTTCGAGGCAAAACTGGCCAAGATTGATAGTCGGTCGGTCCGAGTGTCATGGTCCATTTGTATGCCGCACACACCACACCCACAGACTCCCTCTCCTTGCGAAAGAAAAAACCATCCCCTCCCCTGGTCAGTAGTTGAACGAATTGCGCTTAAATATTTGCGGCGCCTATCAAAAAATTTGCGGCCCATTGTCGAAGCCGATTGATGCAATTTTAAACCCGCAACCAACAAGGACATCTGCTCAAATATTAGCTTATGAAATTGTTTAAAATGCCAGTCACTAACCCATTCACTCTGGTCACGCTCCGGTAGCAAAATCAGGGTGGAGGGCAGGAAACCCCAGCCGTAGCCATTTGACAGTTGCCACAATTTATCATAATTCAATGCATGGCATGTCCTGTCAATCACTGGAATCGACATGGCCATGGACATGGTCGGCGCAACGAAAGGGTGAAGCCTGCCCACACATTAGCCTCGGGCAGGGATGAGGGGATAGGATGCAGTGGGTGGTTGTGGACATTTTTACAAGTGACTTATGAATTATTCTTTGTACTTTTGTAGTCCATCTGTGAATCTTACAGTGAGGGAAATAAGGGGTTAGTTATTCCCGCCCACGTACATATATGTTTTATGTTTAAAATTCTTTTCTAAACAAAAAATCCAATAATACTTAGGATTTTTACCTTTTTTTTCTATTTCTTATACATAATTTTCCCCTGTGTATTTTCCATCACCGCCTTAACTTCCTCTTTATGGTTGGCTTTTTGTGTTTTCAAATCAGATTAAACTGGGAAGCGGGGTGAAGGACTCAGGAACATAAGGGGGTTAGTGCGAGGTGGCTACATGAAAGGGTCAATAATGGAAGTTGGTACGAAGATGCTCAAGTTTATCAAACGGAATATGCGATGCGAACGAACCATTAGACACTGTCCACTGATGGACAGGCGGGACGTGATCCCAGATACGGCTCATCAAGTGCATTGTCATGGGACAATAAAGGGTTAATCGGCTAACAGAAGGGGATTACTTGAAGCGGATTTTCTATGGAGAGAAAGCAAAAATTAGCCCTCTGTAGATCTTAAGTACAAAGTGCATCAATTGATTTACGGTATCATATGATCAGCTTCTATTTGAGAAATCCCCAGAGACAAATTAATATCCGATAGCTGCTACTTTACTAGATTTTAGTTTGGTTAATGATTAAGAGTTTTAAGTATGTTTTTAATCTCTTTACGTCAGACAGTATCTTATGACTTACTTATATTTTTAAAAATTAAATCAGTGTTATATTTTAATATCAAGGGTCTTCTATTTGATAAGACTCCCATAAATATCAAGCATTCTCAGCAAGGTTTGTCCACCGATAGTATCAGTTCTTAAACCTTTGATAACCTTACTATTTGATTAGATAACCCTCAAAAAGTACACAAGATAGCTGTTAAAAAAAAGTTATAAAATTCTTCCTTGAATTAATTAAACTCTTAAAAAAATAAATATGTTCCTCCGAAAATTAAACTATTATTCAACTCATCTTTCCCAAATCTCCCTCCATCCCATCTGAAACAAGAAAATCCCCAATAATAAAATCACCAATATTTATTGTTTACAAGTATTCTTTATTTATTTAAGATTTAGCTCGTCTAATTGACAGAAAAATATAAAGATATTTGGATGTATTGTATGGGTTGTGCTTGAGTGTCTCCCTATGCATATATGATGCCTCCATGGGCGCCGCTTAAAACTAGGCGTAATCTCGGCGATTGCATAATGCTGAGCCCCCGCCCGAGGTCTATGGAAAATCACAACTTGAAGAACTTAAAATATAGTACTCCTCGCGTGCGACGATAAGAAACAAGAGAGAACAGACGTGGAATTTTGATGTGCTGGTTATTTTTTGGGATCGCAGTCGAACGGTTAATTTATTGGCCAGTCAAAGAGTGCGAAACCGCGGCTTTTCAACGTGCTGGTGATTTATAATGACGGACCCTCGGGGAAGGCTCTCTCGGATAACAGATAACAGAACACTATTTGATGTCGACTGTCTGATAATTTTGAAGCGTGACTGGGGCTGCTCCCTCATCTCCTCCAAATTACTCCATGTTCTTGTCGAACAGGAACTCGCCAAGCTCGCCGTGCGAGGACAGCATCTTCTTGAGGGTGGTGAGCTTGCCGGCCAGCTCGCGCTGTCCGTGGAGCTGCTCCTCCAGGTAAACGCCGGTAAGGTAATCCACCAGGTGATAGTGGTTGTAGGGCTTGCCCTCGCAGGTCTGGATCAGCTTGCGGATGGACTTGGTCACCTTGATCTCCAGATCAAGGGCATCCTGCAGGGCGCTGGCACCATCGGTCCACTCCTGCTTGGCCACAGTCTGCACGAGGAGATTCACCGCAATTAGCTTGCTGCGATTCAGAATTTCAGGAGATCAATGAACTTACCGGAACAGTAATCAGGTCGCTCACTCCCTCGGTCAGCTGGCCACGCATGGACAGATATTCGACCAGCTTGGAGCCGTGCTCGCGCTCCTCCCTGGCGGCCTTGAAGAAGTGCTCAGCAAATCCGGGGCGGTTGACGGTGTCGCGGGAGAAGTAGGCGGCCATGGCCAAGTACTGGTAGGAGGCATTGATCTCCTCCTGGATCTGATGACGCATACCCTTGATGCAGCCATCCTTCATGTCAATCCAATCCTTTGTGATCTCGGGCACCTCCAGGGAGCCTGTAAAGGATTAAGTGAAGGGTTGATTAGTTATGGGTGGAAACAATTGATTAGTCTAACTTTTTCAACTCAAAACTTTTAATTTTGTTTCGGGGAGTTGCAAAAAATTCGACTTCTAAAACCACACATGTGGAACTTTCGTTGTTTTAAAAACCTTTGCACCCCTGATCTTGACCTTCGACATGGTTTGGATTTGGATTTTGCCTTTGCTTTGCGGCCTCGTTTCCTAGCTCTCTCACCACACTTTTGCTTTTTGGCTTGGCTGGGGGAAGGGGGAGGGATTATTTAAGAAAGGGGAGTATTGCATAAAACTTGGAAATTGCGCTTGAAATACCGCTATTCTAGAACAAGCAGAACGTGTGCAAACTGCAGTTTCTCACTCTCCTACTCTCTCACTGCAGTTTGGTACCGTGCGCAGCTCTCTGGCCGCCATAGTAACGGGATTTGTTTGGGTTTCGTGCCGTGTGCAAAAGCAGTCTCTCTTTCACACAGTTCAAGCCGTGTGCAAAGAGCTTGAAGCGGACTTGGAAGTGTGACAATGGACTTGCTTATCGAAACGAAAGCAAAATTCGCGTAATATTTGATTTATGGAAACTGATTATTAAAACTGGTTTCCATTTCCCAAACGCGTAACGGAAGCAAATGAGTTTATTTTAATAACAACTTGTGAAATATCAGGTTTGGCCGAGCACCGAAGAGAACTTAAGAGCGGCGCATGCTCTCTTCGGCCACTCGTCTCTCAGTTTACAACTGCGTTTCTAGCTCTTTGCGTATTGCGTCGAAATATACTTTGTTTTTTTCCGCTGACCTGCCTTTGTTTTGTTTGGAACTTGTAAATTCGGTTAATAATAGTACTCACACTTGAAGTCTCCGTAGGCCTGGGCCACCACGGCCAGCAGGAACAGGCTAGCGATTAATTTCACCATCTTTGTTCGTCGGGAGTTGGAAGTCTTTACACAAAATCACAGAACAAATTTGTCACTTGAGTGTTTTGCTTGGTGCACGAACGAATGAGAATGAGGCGACTCGTTGTGGGAGACAATGTTAAATAGGCCTCTCTTTATCGAATTTAGCTGCCTTTACACACACTGGCGCAGAAGGCGACGCCTGCTTCAATTTGATGGGCTTTGATTGGGATTATTCTGAATGCTGATTCCTAATGGCTTCCAGTACCTTCTTGACAGCGTAATCTTCTCGGATCGGAGCGATTGCTTGCTTTGTTCGTTATGTGGAACTTGAATGCGAACTGTGTGAAAAAGCGGCGCACAAAACACTTTTAAACGCTCGCTCTCGCTCTCGTTTGGCCGCCCGCCTGTGTGTGAGTGGGAGAGTGTGCAGTTATCTTTCCAACATGTCGTCGATTCTTTGTGTGGTTAAATGGCTGATAATTGAATATTCCCTATGATAGACGCCTTAATTTAATACACACGTCCTCAATGTGGTCTGTTTTACTGGGGAAAGTCGGGTTTCCTAGTCAGATAATGCCCTCAAATGCAATATGGCCGCTCTTCTCGCACTGCGTCAGCTGTTCTTTGTTTTTGTTTTGGTTGTGTGCGGGAGAGCTAAGGGCCGAGAGCAACACGTCATGGGTTGCCAGGCGGTTTAATTTGCCTTTGATTTCCACTTGACAATTTAATTCTTTTTCTGCCGACTTGATTTGTCACGTTCGGCGGGGGATCAATCAGAATGGTTGATAACTACTGACTGAATATGGCGACGGCGCTTTCTAGGTGTCACTAAAAATGACACTTGATAAGGGGGATAAACGCTGGAATGAACTATGCAATTACATAACAGTTGTATGATTTGGTGAAATCGAACCATATAAATTATGTTATAAATCTTGGAATTTATGTATTTGTTACAAGTTTATATTATGATTAAAATAGTAAAGTCTAAAAACTGGTCACCAAACTCCCAAACTGCAAATCGGAAAAATTTCTTGACACTCTTTTGCAGAATATTGTGCACATCCAAATAACCAATTATTTTTAGCAAAGTATTATTAATATTAAGCAATAAAAACAATCATATCCGCCCACTTCAGCTGATAGTTATCTTAAAAAACCCTTGAAACACACGCACCCACAAAGTGCATTTCAGAGTCCAGTGGCCATTTTTTGCACTCGTTGGCAACCCTGTTGTGAGTCACTCTCCCACTGGAGGCTACAAAAACAACACCACAGCGGCCATATTGCCAGAGCCATGTTTGAATGACAGCGAAATCCCCAACCGAGCTGAGCGCAAAATACCCATGCACTCTCTCGCCACACGCACACTCACACGCGCCGTATCGATCGCATAGAAAGAGACGAGCGCGGCGCTATAAACAGCAGTTGAAATTTTGAATTCCACCAAGCAGCACACAAAAACGGCGCAGAAAGCGAAACCAAAGCAGACAACTAAAGTGAGTTTAGTCAGTTACTAGCTAGTTAGGCGGTGCGGAGAACAAGGAACCTCGAAAAAAGTACCTGGAAAATACAATATACACAAAAATAAATATTGAAAAACAAAAACATTGCGCTGGTGGTGGTTTTGTTGACAAGAAATAACAAAGAGAGAGCCAGAAAATTCAAGAAAACCTTGCGACGCAAAAGGGAAAATTCCACAGCAAATAATAACAAAAGTGGCTGTTTTTTCCTTTGTCAGATATTCTATATTATTGTGAAACTAATTTCAATTTCGTTTTGCATTTCGATTTTGCAGTAAAATCAATCAAAATGAAATTGTTCGTCGCACTCGCTCTAATTGCGAGCCTCGGCTCTCTTGCCTCGGCAAACGAAGAGTTCTGCCAGAATAACGTGGTTACCGCCTGCTCTTCGTCGACCTTCTCCGGTGAGTACAAAGTGCGCTCGCAGTGAAAAAGAGCATGTGTGAAGAGAATTTAAATTGTGTTTATGCGTTGTTGTTTTTGTATCTTTGTTCAATAATAAAAACAAGCGCTCACGGGCTTTTTCACAGGCAAAAGTAAGTGAAAAATGCAGTAAATGTTTTTAGAACTTCTACATTTTTTGTATAGTTATTTAAAGTAACATTTTTTGATATGCACATTTGAGAATTATTTCCTTTTAATTTAATTGTTTCAATAATAACAAGTTTAGATCCAAAATAATGATAAATATCCTATATGCTTTACTAAAACATTCCCAAGCAAGTTTTATTATTTGATTACGTTACAAGATTTTGTTGCTGTTTAAATATGAATCGACCCCAAAAATACTCGCTTACACAAAAAAAACCTTCTAGTGTGGTTTCCCCCGTTTGTAGATTAATAGATTGTAATGTCGATTATTTTGTATGTGTTTTCCTATAGCCAACTCCATCTGTAATGCCCGCTTTGCCGGCGTTGACCATGTGGAGCCCGAGGTGCAGGCCTACATCAACTCCCAGTTGACCAAGTCCTACGACTACCTGCTGCTGGCCACCCACTTCAACTCGTACCAGAAGAACCGCCCCGGCTTCCAGAAGCTGTACCAGGGATTGTCCGACCGCTCCTTCGATGACAGCATTGCTTTGATCAAGCAGATCACCAAGCGCGGCGGCGTTGTGGACTTCAACACTCGCCACGAGTCTCCGGCCTCCGTTCTCACCAAGCGTCCCACTCTGGAGGTCGATGAACTGCACTCCCTGGCTTTGGCTCTGGATAACGAGAAGCAACTGGCCGTTGGAGCCACCCACGTTCACACCCGCGCCACCCACCAGGCCCGTGACGAGCATGATCCCGAGCTGGCTCACTACATGGAGGAGAACTTCCTGTCCAAGCAGGCCGATACTGTGCGCACGCTTTCCGGATATGCCAACGACCTGGCCAAGCTGATGAAGGTGCAGGACCCATCCCTGTCCGTCTACCTGTTCGACGAGTACTTGCAGAAGCAGTAAATCAGTCGAGGCACTGTCTCCTCCTTCATACAATAATATTCCCCTTCCTTCCCTTTCTAAAAATTGCTCTCATCAACCCGCGAAAATCGCGTACTTGCGATCGTTTATAAATTAATTGTTTCCTTGGTTTGTTCACCAATAAATCGCAGTGCAGCAGCAGCATTATCAAAGCAGCCAAATGAATGATTTACCACATACACCCATGCGGAGCTCACCTTGATTTACCAACCAGCAGCACACCAGAGATTGTGATAATGTTATCATAAATAAGTTAGCAAGTTCGCCCCAGCAAATGTATCTTTAGCCATGTACGTTACCGCGTGAACAAATAAACAGACACAACAAAGTGACTAAATGTCAACTACAAAAACAGCAGATTGTTTATGCCTCTTCGATAAGGTTCGGTTTGGGTTTTCAGCTCGGAACTGGATCTCTGCGGGCTCTAGCTATCCTCATTGTGGGGCGTCTGTTTGCGTTTTTTCTTTCTTTGAATGCTGATAGCACTCAGCTGGCTAGTGTACTTTGGATACGATTGTTACATGGAACAATGCCGCTTATAATCGCAGAAATTCTTTAAAAACTACCCAGTTTTGCGATATCAATACGGGTGTTTTTAATCGTTTCAGAGGGTTCTTTCAGTTAGTGTAAGGGATTTCGTTTACTAATTTGAAGAGGGTTGTTTTTAAATACATTTTGAAGAGTCGGAAACTACTGTAGAAGGAAGTCTGGATAGGGAGAGTAGTTTCATGCAATAAATTTGGGTCTAACAGCTAAAGTAAATTCTTAGAAAATGTTTACTGTCTACTTAAAATAAATTAATATATTTCTCTAGAAATGGTTTTTCATGTCGCCTTTTCCTGATAACTCTACTCTGGGGTTGGTTTACATCTTTAATCGATCGCGGAGAATATGAAATCATTGAGACCAAAACGTTATTTCTGTAGGGAATCTTCGATGTTTGAAGGAACCCCGACAATCTTATCATTGACACGCTCCTCTGGCAGATAGTAAAAGGCCACTTTTCCTGAACTAGTTGCTACTCCAAGAGAGAGTCCACGTCACGAATGGAATCATGCCTACTTCCAGAGTGGGCTTATCACTGTCTGCTACACACGGCTTTTTCTGCTTCGTCCGGAGCAGTTCCGGCTGAGTGGGGTCTGGGCGCCATCTTGGACACCCGTTGACTAAGTATGAAACATCCGATGACGTGGACGTTAAAGTCCCAGTGTCACATTGTTACGTAAGGCAAGGCAATCTTTGACTTTTCAGATGATTTTTGTAGTCCCCAGAAGCTGCATCGCATTTTTCTTATCAGTTTTTTTTATGGAGGGGACTCCTGATTATGTATATTGCTAAGAAAACAAAAATATGAGGGTTTTATAAGTAATTTATTAATAAAAAGTTCAATATTAAAACGTTATTAAAAACAAAATCATTTTCATCATCATGTTTACCCCTAAAATGTACAATATTTACCTAAATTTCTGTAAATCCAACAGCAATCCAACAATAATTTAAATCTCTTAGTTATTTAATTGTCACATAATTCTTATATTTATTTCTAAAGAAATATTAATACACACATCCGTATGTTATGTATGAATATACACTCCAATTTATTCCAAGTGGTTCCACCTACTCTATGGATCCAAGCCACGCATCTGGGCAATTTATCAATTAGCGACGCCCATTCAATGAGGACTCCGCACATCCGGATACGGTCCACTAGCACGTGAAATGAACGTCAATTTGCCATTTTAATGCCGCCTATAACTACTCAACGGGATGGGGTCAGGGGTCATCAAATCGCAGAATCCGTAACTGCAGCGAAAGGCGAATCCGTGTAATAACTGCGTGCTTTCGTGTAATTAGAATATGACGGCCATAAGGGGAAAACTCCTCTTCGGGATCATAACAGTTAGGACGGAATGAGATTGGAGTTGATATGATATGGCTGCTGCTGGGGTTCTTCTAAGCGGACCAGTGTCTCCGAGTGTGTGCTGTGGTCATTAAGTAATAATCCACTTAATATTAATTGCCCTGATTTGCGGATGAAAGCGGCCTCAATGAGACTCTTTATGCTTGGAGCACAAGGAGAAAAAAAAGGCTAGGAATATATGGAATTTTTTTTTTATTAGAATTAAATAAATATTATTAATATAGTAATAATCTTCTTTAAAAAAATAGTAAATATGTTTACCAATAATAGGAATTAAATTGGTTTTTTTTAATATTTTTACCGCAGTTATTTTTCTATCTTTATTGAACTTTTCCTTTACCGAAATTAGGAAATTCGGCTTCTCTGATATTTAATTTTATTCATTAATTAATATATTAAAATAAATTTCCCATTTCCTAAAATAAATAACACTTTTATAATTTTATACATTATAAATTATAGTTTTTTTTTCTCACTG